CCCCAAAACCCCAAAACCCCAAAACCCCAAAACCCCAAAACCCCATGAAAGCAGAAGAGTGGGTAAAGATTTAATATAATATTAATATCGATTCCTGAGCCTAAGTTAAATACAAAATCAGCTCGAAACACTCCTTATCTACTTAAAAATTTAATCCAACTTTAGGGTTGGCTAGAAGAGCTATGAGAGTTCCCCATATGCTGATAAAATATTTGCAGAATGTGTGAAAATTTTCTAATAAAATAGCGATTTACTCGAGTTCACCTAATTTTGCGCTAACATAAAACTTCAGAGAGAAAAAAATTATCAAAAGTCCTAAAAAGGCCAATGTGGTATTTTATTAGTATTCTTTCCTACTAACTTAGCCATTAAATAGGAAATTTTGAAATTTATAAAGGATCCCCTTCTGCTGAAATTCCAAGAAAGTTGTCATTTACTGTAGTCCCAACAAATGAGCTTAAAATTCCCAATAAAGGAACCCATCTATTCTTGAGGATAACTTGCTTCCTTTGAGTTATTTTCAAACTAAAAGACTGAGTTCTAGCTCTATGGGTTGTTAATAGATCCTTGGACATAGTAAGTCTCAGGTTTATTATGGAAAGTTTTCATATCTCCTAATCGCTAATTTTTATATTAATACTTATTTCAAAATACCACAGCCATGGGACAAGAAAATATGAGTTGATTCTATAGCCAGAACCTTGTTTGTTTTGAAGATAAAGTCGTTAATAACTTTAGAACTAATGAGTTACCCTACCTTCTCAAAATTGCCTCTATTATTTTCTATGCCAGACATTTTAATATGAAATCAGTATTAATAAATTTCACAATGCAGGGTTTAAAAATGAAGGTTATTGTTCTATTATAATCAGCCAAACCGACTAATCTCTGAATGATATTCAGTATTAAGGAAACACTTAATTTAACCCTGAATTTACTGTTGGTGGTATGCCAACTTCTTTCTTGCTATAAAATTAATCAAAAAGACCTAGTTAAACTCAGCTTACGATTTTAAGAATACCCCAATAGACAATAAACCAGGTGATTATTTTTATGAAAAATTAATATTATGAGGGATCCCTTCTCGATAAACACTGATAGGTTTAGAGTCAAAGCTGCCTTTGAGGTACATTGTGAGATATCTCTCTACTTGGGAAGAGCTTCTGATGGTTCAAAGAAAGATATTGAGCAAAGAAATAAAGTTCGATTAGGTATCAAATTTTCATAATATTCTCTTATTAAGATAAGATCGATTATTTATTTATTTTCTTAAAAAGGAGCACATAATTGCATCGAGTTCCCTCTCATAGAGATTATATCTCCTTGCTTTATTTTCCCTTTGTCATTGATCAGTCGGCTACTTTTTCAGCTCTCAGTAAGTACAAGGTTTACATGATCTTCTTCAGGAATTTCTGCTTCATCATCAAAATCTATGTTATTTACAGCTTCTTCAACAATTTCTGGAATAAGCCGGCTTCTGTAGATTTTGAAACAGTTTTTAATAAGCTTGTGTCTAATTAGTTTGACCATCTCGTTGGGACAGCCCATCTCTCGGTTACTTTCGATGTTCATTTATTATTTAAGGATTACTAATTCAATTATAAATATTTAATTTGGGGTTTTGGGGTTTTGGGGTTTTGGGGTTTTGGGGTTTTGGGG